TGCCAAGCTTCTTTGTGCAAACATTTATGTGTGTGCGAAGCATTTTAAATAGATCTTTTGCACCACTCTATTTTCACACTGTGAAGGATGTGATGTAGTTATGAGCTTTGAAGTTAAGACAGATCTGAATTTAAATTCTGACTCCATTACTTATTACCCCTGTGAACTTTGAGCAATTTACCTAACCTTTCTGAGCTTTAATTTTCTCATCTGTAAATTAAGGATTAAAAATAGCTAGCAGAAAAGGTTATTGAGAGAGTTGAATGCAATAATGTATGTGAAGCCATGTGCAGAGGCTCTAAGTATATTTTGAATTGGTTTTCCCTTTAGACTTCCTCCCAGGTGCTTGGATCTCTCTTGGCCTAGGCACATAACCCCAGAGGGTATAAATCTAGTGCTTGGTCTCAACATGAATTGCTCCTTAAATTCTGAAATAGTAAACCAGAAGACACACTTGAAGGCTGAAAGAGGTAAATATAGTACACAAGAAAGGGAATACTCTTTTCATATAAGATAAGAGTAAATTCATTAACTATACTAATTAATGCACAAACTCATTAACTAAATTGTGAGTAAATACACTTGCAATATAAGCTGAATAAAGTCACAGAGAGTGGTTTGAATACATTGGTGCTGACAAAAATATATTTGGTTACTAAAGAACAAATAATAGCTTGTGCTATGTGTCAGGTACTGTATGAAGTACTTTATTTTATTTATTTATTTTTTTATTTATTTCGGCATATTATGGGGGTACAGATTTTAAGGTTTCAATAAATGCCCATTTCCCCCCTCCCCCCAAAAGTCTGAGTCTCCATCATGACCATCCCCCAGATGGTCTCACTCATCTCACTCATTATGTATGTATATACCTGCCCCCCTCCCCCCTCCCACCTGCCCAATACCCTATTACTGTGGTACCTATGTGTCCACTTAGGTGCTACTCAGTTAATACCAGTTTGCTGGAGATGAAGTACTTTATAAACATCTCATTTACTTCAAACAACTACCAGGTGTTTTTCCCATCTTACTTTCTATCTTTACTGATAGAAAACCAAAGCCATGGGAAGGTACATGTCTTGCCCTCATTACAACAGTAACTGTCTAAACTGATGAAGCCTATGTTATTGTCAGTCTTATGCTACTTAAGGAGGTAGGAGTGTATCAGTATCTTCTGAGGACAATGACGGATGGAACATTGGGCTGAACCAATCAATATGTTAATTTTAAACTTCGGCTTTGAAGAAAGAAACTATGTCGGGTATTAGTAGCGAGGGATAAGAGGTATCCTTATATCTTTTAATTCCATATTCTTTTCATTTGAGAGAAGGGCAAGAAACTAGGAAATTAATTCTGTTTAACTAATATTTATTGGACATGTTCAATTTGTCAGGGAGTATGAAATGTCCTTTCTCTACATTATCTTCCAAGCTTCAATTTTCTCCAATGAAAATTGAGGGGCTTAGATAGTTATAAAGTTCTTTTTTTGCTTTAAATATCTAAGAGTCTATAAATTCTCTTAATCTTCATTTCATTTTCACCCAACTAGACCTTAATGGGGCATTTAGAATTGTAGCGAGATGGGGGTGGATGAGTATGCTGGTACATAGTCACAGTTGGTGGTAGTTAGAATAAAGGTTATGATTTCCTCTTTTCCCTACTTCTTCCTATCTATATTTGCATAAAAATGTGGTCACACATTCTTACTTGATTACTTGTAGATGGACACGTTCCAGTGATACTAACGCTTCTAGGATAAGGGCCATCTCTTCCTTCATAATTTATTGCACAATGCTGGATTTAGAGAATCTTGAAGTATGCTTATTCAGAGTTGATGTGAAAAATATTAGCTTATCTTCTATTCTATTTGCTTTAGTTGCTGCCAAATAGCTGGTTTTCGTTCAAAGCCTGATCTTTCCTTATTCAGGTAAGTTTGCAGGAGGGCTTTGATTTTTACACACCAGGTTAAATGCATTTCCTTCTTACCTGTTTAGGCTAATGGTCTTCAGTGTTATGCAGAGTAAAGATATTATCTAGCCTTCATTCAGAAGAACTATTTGGTTTGAAAAAGAAAAGACTCATTCCTGCAGAATCATTAAATGAAAAAGAGAAAGTTTAGCAAAAATTCAAAAAAAAAAAAAAAGCTGAGTTTTCTCAAGGGAATGCAAATTGTTTTGCAGTTTAGACTGAGAACTAATACTCTTCAGGTCCTGTTTTCCAGCTGATTTAGTCTATGAAAATGATTTTCTTACATATGGAGGTTTTCCTATAACTTCACGTTGCTGTTGATACATTTCTTTTTTACATTAAATTTTTTGGGTGCAAATTTCTTAGACCTATGACCCTGGAATACTAGTTTGTCATGGAGAGAAATGCACTTGAAAGGAGTACTGTGAAAAAGCAGTACATACTTCACATGTGAAAATTAAACTACTGGACCATAATCAACATAGCATGCTCTGTGATAGATTATTCCCAGGTTAAATTTATATCAGGCACTCAGCAAAATTATTCATCACTATCTTATCCCTTAACATAATATAGATGTAGGAGTCAGTGACCCAGTAAGTACAAAAAAAATCTTTAGAGATGGAATGTAACTATATGCAGTAACAGTGATTTTGTTCTACTTCTAACAGGTCTGAAATGTGAAATGGTTGTGTACCCCCTGTGTACACTAGTTCCACAGGTTGTCGGAAAAAATGAGGTTATACCCTCTGGTATTTGTATTCCTTATTCTTGGAATAGATTATAGGCTTTCTTTAGATACCCAGCAATAATTCTATACATACTTTTTCATTGGTGCTAGGAAATTCAACTCAATATCCATTTCAGCTCAATATCCACTTCTAAGCCTCTGCAAGAAAGCTTTAAACTATAGGCTTTCTTTAGACACTTAGTGATAATTCTCCCATGGAACCCACGGAAGCACATGCATAGTATTTCTTGGCCTGAATGTTTGTATAATCTGAAAATTATCTATACATGCTTGTCATTGGTGCTAGGAAATTCAGTTTAATATCCAAGTGAGCTCAATATCCATTTCTAAGCCTCCACAAGAAAGCGTTCAACTTCCTGACTGCCAAAAATCTAGGTTTGAATTAAGCAACTAATGCTTTACCTGGTTTTTACCACTAGTTCTCCCTGCCAGAATCTTTTCAATTCATCCTCAGCCAATGCCTGCCATTCATGGCCTGGCAACATACTCTTTCACCTCCCTACACCTCATGTCTTTGCTTTTCCAGCCCTTTGGTTGCCCTCTGGTTTCTTCCTCCACATACTTGTCTGACTGGTTTCTAGAAACCTGGCAGAGATTTTTCTCTAAACCCGGCTACCACAAATGAAGAGCCTGGGATCCAGACACTCCTCTCTCAATGTAAGTCTAAATGGATCTAATTTAACAAATGGATCTAATAAACAAAACACATCTATTATGCGTGGGGCTTTTAAAGAAGAGAATGAGGAGCTGATTAACAGACAAAATAACTGGCTAGAACAAAGGTTAGGAAAAGACTATAATAGTAACATAAAAAACCATCAATCCTAGTTAATCCACAAGGTATCCCCCAGCCCCTTCCGTAAAGGTTAAAGAGGGCAGTTATCTTTGTTTTGTGCATTGATGTAATCCAAGTTTCCGAAACAGTGGCTGGCACATAGTAGGTGCTCTATAAATATTTGTTGAATGTTGAAAGACTGAGAGAATAATTAAAACCAGATAAATGGATATCCTAAATACAATGACAAAGGCTCCCCCATCAAATGTTCAGTGGTCCCCGATACAGCCCCATTGTTCTGCATCTCTTTATATGCCTGCCTTTTCCCGTGTTTTTGTCATTCTAACACTTTTACACGCATATTTAAATCTAAAAACTCGCAAGCACACAAAAACCCCTGGAATCACACACTTAAATGTTATTCAAAGTAAGTTATATTAGGTTGCTACTTTAAAAATGAATGTCAACTCCTAATGGGTTCACTGTTACTGCAGCATTCTTTCCCTCCTTCTTGGAGTTGAGGGATTAAACAATCAACATTCTGTCTCCTTTCTCTCAATCTTAAAGTTTTTCCTTCTTTTCCTCTGCTTTATTTCCTTTTCCAGTCTGTCGTTTCACCAGGACGGTTGCTTTGCTCTTTCTCCCTCTCTGCCTGTTGGTCCCCGTGATCCTTTCTTTCTACCCCTCATTCCCAGAAGCTTCAGAAAATACCTTCTTTTCCCCCTTTTCACGTCACTTCCCTCCCTTCTCTCATCTCCCTCTCCTCTCCGAGAGGTGAGTTCCCCACTAGAGGCCAGCACTTTCTTAGTTTCGCCCCTCCAACCCGCTAGCAGAACTCCGAGAGCAAGAAGGTGAAAAAAAGAGGAGAAAGAGAGAGCGAGAGAGGAAAAAACCCCGGGGCCTGGAGCGCAGAGGCCCGGGAGCAGCGTCGCCATGGCAACGGGCGCCGGCAGGAAACTAGGGCCGCGCGGGCGGGGGAGCAGGGCGCCGAGGGGAGGGGGAGGAACGGGGGAGGGGTCCGGCTGCCCCGGAAGCACCTCCCCGCCAGCCCCCTCCTCCAGCCCGGCCCGCAGCCCCCGGCCCGCAGCCCCCACCCTCTCGGCCGGGCAGGAAGTGACAGGCCCAGAGCTAGCCCCGGAGGCCAGGCAGAGCCGCGGCCGGGCCCGCACCCGGAGCGGCGGGAGGGGCGGGGAGCCGCGGCCGCGCCGGGCGCCTCCCACCCCGCTCTCGGCGCCCCCGCCCCTCCAGGAAGGGGAGGAGGCGCGGGGAGCCCGCCGCGGAGGCCGAGCGAGCCCCCTGCCCGGCTTGGCTACCGGGGACCCCGGCACATGAGGTGGACGCCCCCGGGGAGGACTTGGGTGCGGAGCCAGGCGCGAAGGTAACCGGGCGACCGAGGGCTGGGGAGGGGCAGGACCTCTGGGGGCTTGGCTGCGCGGGGATGTTTCTTCAGCCACCTCAGTCTGTGTAACGCCCCAGGTACCTCCCCTAGCCGCTCTCCCTGCCTACCTCCGGCGCTGAGCTCTGCGGTCCTTCGGCTCTGACTGTCCAAGTCTTCTTGCTATTCATTTCGCTGTGCTTAGTGCTGTCTGTCCGTCACCCTAATTTGCCTCTGACTGCTCATTTTCTCATTCATTTTTCCTTCTCTGACTTTGGTCCTTCCCTCCGAGCATGCTGTGTAGTTATCGCCCTGCTTTTCATGGTCCGCTGGGTTCCTCAGCCTCCAATTCCTTGACTTCTGCCTGTCTCCTTGCTATCGGTATGCACATTTCCCTGCTCACTTGGGTTGGTTCACCACTGTATCCACCCCCCTTTCCCCAGTATATTTGATTTCTCTTTGGAACATCATTTTCTTCAAGGTTCTACATAGAACAAGAACCCCTGGGCGTCTACTGTCCTTATTTTCCAGATTATTTCCATTTCTTTGGAACAGTCTTCCCTGAACCGCCCCCTTCTCCCTCCCCCTTTTCCATGCCCTATCCTGTCTACAGGACAGTTTTATGGTTAGGGATATGACTTCCTCCAACTCTTGACCCAGTAGTTCCAGTACCAGGTCCACCTCAGTATTCCTTCCTAGCTCCCTTCCGTAGGTAGGTCTGTGCGCCAACCCAACCCATTCCAGCCCATACACACCCAGATGCTGCCTTTCAGGATGACCATGGCTTAGCTGTTCTGGGGACCTCTGTGGATCTGATTCTCTTTTCCAGTTTAATTCTGAAAATTTCAATTCATTGTGCCTCCCAAACTGTTTGTCTTCATTTTCTGTATTTAATCTTGCAGTCACAACATTGATCGTAAATGAATAGATTTATGTACCTGGGATCTAGGAATCCTGGTTTTAGTGACAATTTCCCATGATTTTATTGAAACGTTTTAAGTTAGTCCCTTTGCATCTCTATTTCACAGTCTGAAAAAAAAATATTAATAAGACTTCCATTTTTGGGAAGACAAGGGGTTATATAGTTTGTAAGCATTTCACATTTGAAAGTAGGAATTATTGTCCCCTCTATAGCTAGTAAAGGAGTGTCATGTCTCTGAGTCCAGTGAACTAAGTCCAGTATTCTATACAACTATGCCGTGCTGCCTCTAATCCTTACCCACTTTTTTTCTTCACATGCTGATAATGAGGATTCATGGGTCTGTATCTGTTTAGTGCTTTGATATTTTGGCAAAAGATATGGGGAGAAGGTAGACTAGAGTTGAAGCTGATATGATTTTTCCTGTGTACTTTTTGGTTTATATCCATGTTTACAGTGGCATTTGCTATCCTAAATGAAATCAAAGAGTTTGGGGGGAGGGTAATAATGCAATCAGATGATACTGGGCATGAAATATTGAGAAAGCTCCTCAACTTTATTGCCAAGGCCAAGCAGTTTGATTTTATTTACTGTGCTTTTTTTGTTTTTGATGCAATCCCTAAGATGAATACACTCACCCTAATAAAACTATTGACAGCCCTTAGCAGAAGTGCTGGTTTGATGTTTACATTTCTAAATCAAATAATGTTTTGGTCACCTGATATTTCTAGTGGCCCAGAGCCTTAAAACTAGACAATACAGTGTGTAGGTTTAACAAAAGAAAAAAAGATAAGAATGACTAAAAAACCTTATTTGGTGCTGCTTTGAAAAAATATTTCTTCTTGCTTGTCATCTCCTGTCTCCTTGCTTGGTTCTTAGCAGTGTTTGGATATGCATCTTTTTGCAAATTTTAGTGTAGTCTCCAGAGGGTAAATTCTAACACTTAAGGAGAGTAAAAAGTTGAATCTTACTTTCTTGAAGATTTTCATTGTTATATATTTAATGTATGTTAATACCTGGGAGTCATTGTTAAAGTGATACATTCCATTTGCCATGGGGAAACTGAGCCCAAAGGAGGGAAAGGGACATGCCTGAGGTGTTATTACTAGTAGCCTGAGTTGGAAGCAGGCAGCTATTTGGGCTCTGTTGCTGTAAGGCTAGCTCTTCTGCCTTCTAGTTTTATGATCTTCCATAACCCACTTAACATATATGTGTCTTAGGTGGTCTTACATAAAATGATGATAGTGAATATTGGTACTGAGTGACACTGAATACTGAGTGCCTTAATCATAGACTTTTTTTGGTTTGAAAAGAAAGCATGTGGTAGTGTAAAGACTTAATACTTATCAGGGCAACTTCTTTAACCTCAGAAAACCTCATTTCCACAGTTGTAAAATGGGATAATGTAATAGTATTTACCGTATAGCACTGTAAGAGATAGTACAGTAAATGATGACGATTGCTAAGATGACAGTGATGCAGATGGAGACAAAAGTGAGATAACCACAAAGTTAAAGTGGGAAGATTTTAAATCGTCATGAAATGCTGTGAGAATGTAAGATGGTTTTAGTATTGTAAGGTGCCGTTTTACATTCTGGCCATTTTATTTCATGACAGTCATGAGGAAATATGTAAAGGTTGTTTATTGTGAGACAATGCATACCTTCAAAAGATAGTAGTGTGGGGAGGATACAGTTATAAGAGTGTATTGCAGATTTGGGAGTTCTAAGATCAGAGAAATCATGGCTATAGAACAAGAAAAAGGTTCTTAAGATAACTTATGGATTTAGTGTGGTCGTGAATAATAACATGAAGTAACAGTTTGGGATCAAGGTATAAATGTTAATTCTTTACTGCTTCCATCTAGGTCTTGAGTCAGAGCACCAGCCTTGGGGAGCCTGGACCACTATCATGGAGACTGAGAGTGAGCAGAACTCCAACTCCACTAATGGGAGTTCCAGCTCAGGGGGCAGCTCTCGGCCCCAGATAGCTCAAATGTCATTGTATGAACGACAAGCAGTGCAGGTGAGGCTCAACTCTGAGGGGCCATGATCTGTGAATATTGGCTTGGGGTAGGTAAAGATGCTGGAAGATAATTGTCTTTAGTTCCTTTCTAGAAAATTGGGGAAAGTTGAATTAGTTGATGACTAAGGTCCCTTCCAGTTCTGAGACTCTTAAAAAGGTTTGGGCAAGCAAACAGAGAATGAAAAGTCTTTCACCTAAGGGTTTTTAAAAATAATATTCAGTCCATCTAGCCAGATTCCGACTAACCATTTTTCTTCACGGACTGACAGGTTTTTAATCTTTGGTGTTTCTTGTAAATCACCTTGAGTAATGGAAGTATCATGGACCTCTTTAGACATTTATTTTTAAACAAATAGCAAATCCCATGTCTTTTTAATTTTGTTTGAGAAATAAGTCTGTTACTTAAAATATTTTTGTTACTAGAGTATCTATGCCTATCTTAACAGTTCTAATTATTAACGAATAATATAGTAAAGTCCCATTAACACTAAAACTGAACTACCAGTGTCATTTTTATAAACATCTATTAACATTATGCTGTAGATATTTGAAAATGCCAATTAGTTGAATGCCAATTTCACCTGATAGAATCTTTTAGAAGCCACTGTTTTTTTTTTTTTTTGAGACAGAGTCTCACTTTGTTGCCCAGGCTAGAGTGAGTGCCGTGGCATCAGCCTGGCTCACAGCAACCTCAATCTCCTAGGCTCAGCGATCCTACTGCCTCAGCCTCCCGAGAAGCCACTGTTTATTTTTCCATCATTTTCAACCCCTTAGGGCTCTATTACCCTTACTATCTACTTAGAACATAGTCTTTCATTTTCTTTACATTTATCAATATCTCATTTATTTTCAACTTGTCTTATCTTTGCTTTGTCATGTATTCCAGGTCCCATTTTAAGAAATAAGGGTTCATGTGAATTGGACTGTTTTACTTTTCTTTGTATGCATAAATAGGCCATTGACTTACAGTCATGCATTGCTTAATGATGGGGATATGGGCTTGGCATGGTGGCTCACACCTGTAATCCTAGCACTGTGGGAGGCTGAGGCGGGAGGATGCTTTGAGCTCAGGAGTTTGACACCAGTGTCAGCAAGAGTGAGCCCTGTCTCTACTAAGAATAGAAAGAAATTAGCCAGGCAACTAAAAATATAAAAGAAAAATTAGCTGGGCACAGGGGTGCATGCCTGTAGTCCCAGCTACTCGGGAGGCTGAGGCAGAAGGATCTCTTGAGCCCAGGAGTTTGAGGTTGCTGTGAGCTAAGCTGATGCCATGGCACTCTACCTGGGCAACAGAGCAAGACTCTGTCTCAAAATAAAAAAAAAAATGATGGAGATATGTGGATATGTTCTGAGAAATCTGTCATTAGGTGATTTCATTATTATGCAAATATCATAGAGTGTGTTTACATAAACCTAGATGGTGTAGCCTACTACACACCTGGGCTGTGTAGTGTAGCCTGTTGCTCCAACCACTGTGGAATATGCAGTCCGTTGTTGACTAAAACGTCATTGTGTGGCCCATGACTATAATTGCTTCTTCCAATCTTTAGAGGATTATATAGACTTACTGGTTCTAATATAAAAATGGACAAATCTGATGTTGATAATTTAGCCCAATCTCCTATCTCTCTTGGTTTCTCTCTTTCTTACGGCTCCCTTACACACAAATACAGTGATTTGCATAGGATAGGAGTTAAGAGTGATCCATTCTAAATGTTTTATTCTCTCTCCTTTCCTAGGCTCTGCAGGCACTGCAGCGGCAGCCTAATGCGGCTCAGTATTTCCACCAGTTCATGCTCCAGCAGCAGCTCAGTAATGCCCAGTTGCATAGCCTGGCTGCTGTCCAGCAGGTGAGAAGTCAGCAGGCAGCTGGCCTGAGAGGGAGGGGACAGGCACTATAGGTGGGTAGGGAGACTTGGAGCATACTGCATTCTGCACTAAACCAAAGTAGGGACAGAATCTTCTATGCCTCCTGTCCTGTAGAAGAATGGTTGGATCTTAGTTCCTGGGGTTGTAGTAAGAACTGGGAAAATCACCTTTCAGAGGTAGAATGGCCATATTCTAGATTTATTCTGTCTGATACGATAGCCACTAGCTATCTGTAGCTATTCAGTGCTTGAAATGTGGCTAGTCCAATTTGAGATGTGTTATAAGATTTTAGAGTTTGAAGACTTAGTACAAAAGAAAGAAATATACAATATCTCACTGATTTTTTTAAAAAATATAAAGTATATGTTGAAATGATACTACTTTAGATATATTGAGTTAAATAAAAT